TAAAGAACCACTTCAAAACCAGTACAGAAGAACTAGTACAGAACCCCCTCAAAACCAGTACAGAAGAACCAGTACAGAACCCCCTCAAAATCAGTAAAGAACCCCCTCAAAACCAGTACAGAACCCCTTCAAAACCAGTACAGAACCCCCTCAAAACTGGTACAGAACCCCCTCAAAACAGGTAAAGAACCCCCTTTAAAACTGGTAAAGAACCCCCTCAAAACCAGTACAGAAGAACCAGTACAGAACCCCTTCAAAACCAGTACAGAACCCCCTCAAAACCGGTACAGAACCACTTCAAAACCAGTACAGAACCCCTTCAAAACCAGTACAGAACCACTTCAAAACCAGTACAGAACCACTTCAAAACCAGTACAGAACCCCTTCAAAACCAGTACAGAACCACTTCAAAACCAGTACAGAACCACCTCAAAACCAGTAAAGAACCACCTCAAAACCAGTAAAGAACCTGTCCATCTCAGGCCAGTGATTTCCCACATCTCTCTCGACTCGTATCACTCCGCAGTACTTATTAAAAAAGATTACGATGATTAAACATTATTAAGAAATGTGTCCCGCTGTGGTCGAAACTCCAGTTTTTAATGTTGTTTATGTGTCTATGTGGTGTTTAATACGCTTTAAGACACACCGTGTGTAAGTTCATAAGTCGACAGCATTGCTGAGTATTTCCTCCTTAAAACTGCAGTGAACCAAAGACAGTCTCAAAAAAACGGTTTGAAATCGCTGGTGTTTCTGACGTCACAAACGACCTTGTAACCAATCAGATCAACGTGTGATCGTCAACCAGTGGATCTCTGAGCGGAGTGAGTGAGTGGAGGCGGGGCTCATTTGCATATTCATAGAGCCACGCATACTAAATGAGGCAAGGGTGTCGCGTTACATTCAAGATATTTTAAGGCATGAAGGAGGAAAAAACTTTAATATGTCATTTTGGTGTCAAAGATGAGTTTAAAGGGATACAATTATGGACTACAGGGAGAAATTGTACTAAAATCCTCAACAACCATGACACATTCAAAGTCACGTATATCAGCTTTCCTCCTCATTATGATGATCAGTTTGCTGTCATGTGATTGGCTGAGGTATTTCTTGAATTGACTGATTCAGATTCACTTTCATATTCCAACTATTGTCCGATCAATCGTCTGCGTTATGCTTCTGACACGGTTATGTTTTAGAGTGAGTGTCGCATTCTAGATATGAATCAGGCACCATGAACTTTCCTAAAAGAAGAATATAAATGAAAAATTACAGAAAGTTTATTCCCCTCTCTCTTGAAGAGGGAAACCTGTCACTGCAAAAGATGATTTTCTTTCTCAGTATTTCTGTCGTTTCCAGTCCAAATATCTAAAAAATCTTAAATCAAGATGCATTTACTAGATGAGTACAATCACATTATGAACATTATGTCTTGTTTTCTGGGAAAAAAAAAGAATCAAAATTAAGTGAGTTTTTGCTTAAAACAAGCAAAATTATCTGCCAATGGGGTCAGAAAAATAATCTTGTTTTCCATTTGAATTTCTGACCCCATTAGCAGATCATTTTTCTTCTTTTAAGAAGAAAAAAACTCTTAATTTTTTTTATAAATTTTTTTTTATG